TAAAGAAATTATATTTGAAGTTGCTGATATACTATTTATCTATAAATAAAAGTCAATAAGTATTTTATATAAAATACATAACCATTAAAAAATTAGATATTTATACATTTCAAATATTATCTTATTCAATAAATAATGTAAATTAATATGATTTAATTATAAACATAAGAAATATTGTAGATAGAAAATTTTAACTTTATGAATAATTATTTAATAATGAATTAACAACTACGGCACTTCTTTTTGCTTCTTTGGAATCTTTATCTTCACCTTGTCGTTGTTGTACATCCTGTTGTCCTCTAATTCTAATATTATGCTTCTCTTTGAATTCATTTATTTCAATTCCTTTTTTTGTCAATTGATCATTTAAGGTATCTATGACTTTAATTAACTAAAAATTATCAAATAAATTTTATTTACATTACATTCTAAAGTTTTAATATATATATAATTATATAGTTTGATATGTACATATAATATATATTTAAGTATATAAATACATTTATTTTATTTTTTAATATAAAATATTTAATAAAATAAATCTGACCTGTTCTTTATTTGTTATCAATGCTGGCATTACATCTTCTACAGTACGTTCACATAAAACACCTCCAGTCATTCTATAGCATTTTCTTTTAGGATCTATATTTTTTAATGTATCTATAACAATCCTAAAAAATTAAAACTGAATATCATTTAAGCAATTATCGATATAATGTATATTATCTAAAAAAAATATATTATAAATAAATATAATATTTAATTTATTAAAGTAATTTAATTTTATTTCTTAATAAAAATTTAAAATTTCATAATATAATTTATAAAAATTTATTTTTTATTTACTTATAACATTGAAAATAAAATTTAAAATAAATAACATAAATAAGTATAGGTTAGAAAATACATACTTATGTTCATTTAGTTCCATTTCCATTTCTGACAATTTATTAGCCATTGCTCTTTGTTCATTACGAAGTATTTGAAATTCAGATAATATTTCTGTAGTAGACTTCGTACCTTTTGAAGATTTTCCTGATTTTTTATCGCTAGCCATATTAGGAACTCTATATTACTTCTTCATTCGTGAGAGCAACTAATACTCTTGATGACTGATGCGATGATTATGTGATATCTATTGTTAAAATTAATTTAGGTATACATTCATTTATACATTCATTTACATTTAAATTCTTACGATAATAATATACATATTTATTTATACTGTATAATTTTGAATATTTTTATATTATAAAAATATAATTTAAAATTTGAATTTTTTATAAAAAAAAGATTAATAATAAATAAAAATATTCACTTGTCTTATTTTGTTCAAAATTATAAAAAACATTACATGTAAAATTTAGAGAAAAAAATTTTTTAATTTTGAGCATATATACATTTAAATTTTTTATATAAAACAAGATTTATTTTTTTAGTTAAGTTATATTTTTTATATTAACAATTTAATATAAAAATAATAATTAAATATCTTTATTTTTTTATATCGTATTAAGTCAAAATTTTATTTTGTGTATATATTTTTCTTTACAAAATATAATAATTTATAAAAATGAAATATTAACATATATGTATTGTGTGGAATGAAAGAAAAAAAAAAATAATACATATCACGCGTACGCATGTGCATACACAATGCACAAAATAACATTTATGTATAGGATGTATATTTTGTTCATTAATTAATACATTCATTATATTTATATATAAATAAAAAATTTTAAATAGTCACTCATAACAATAACATGTACTTTAAAAAATGTAAAATTAAAATTTTTATATTTTTAGATATAAATATTCTTATTACACTTTTATAAACCTATTACAATGTTAAATAATACATAACTTATGAATAAAGGCAAGAGACATGTATTTCTTTTTGTTTTTTAATGATATGTTAAATATTTTTATAGATATATATATATATAAATTTACACTTATTATATTAACTTATATTACACTTATTAAATTATTTTATATTTTAATATCTAAATTTAATTATTAAACAGGAATGCAAAGAAAATGAGTATTATAACATTAAAATTTTTTTTGTGTAACAAGTTTCATTATTATATTAATCATTTCATTACATATATCTATATATTTGATATGCAATAATGTACTTTATATACATATTTTACTGATTATTTAGCGAATATTACACATGATATTTACTGTACATGATTCTTAATAGCAAGCACAGTCTTAAACATAATATAACATTATCAGCCTTCTAAAATGAAATGCAAAATAATAATTTAATTTAAAAGATATATAAAAGATATATATAAAAGATGAATAAAATTAATACATCCAGTATCATTGAATACATGAAATTATGTATAAATAATATAAAATTGTAATAATGAAAAAGAATAATATATAATGATAGCTATGGCGAATTGAAAATTTTTATATTTTTTAAATTTAACAATCACATATTAAAATGCTAATATTATTTTAATATATTAAAATAATAAAATAAGACAAATATATTAATAGTTATATAAAAAAACATTAATCTTTCATATGAAAAATAAAAAAAACATTTTAAATTATAAGATCAAATATATAAATTATAAAAATTTCATTTAATTATATATCTTTTATGAAATATAAAATCTTAAAAATGTTTTGTTTCGAAATGTTTGACTTATTGACAATTACAATTATTTCTATTTTTATTAAAATAACCTTTTATATGATAAAATAATCACATACTAAAATAATGCAAAATTTTTACTTTAAAATACTTCAAAATATATAAATTGTAAATTTATATATAAAAAACATATATGAAAATATATGAAAAATTCAATTTTTTTTGTGAAAAAAATTATATAACATATGAATGTATATGTTTTTTTTATTAAAAATATTTTATTTGAAATGGTAATATTTCTTTTATCTATTTTTTAGAAAAATTATTATAATGAATTTAAATAAATATAATGAAAATTTCTAAATATTAAATATATAATAAATAATGCATTAATTGCAATATATTTTAAACATAAAATAATTTTGTAAAATTTAAAAAAGAAAGGCAAAAAAAACAAATAATTAAATTTTTTATTTTTCGATTATTTATACTTATTAAGAAGTTTTAATTTCTTTAGATATATCTATCTGAAAATATATTTAACTTTCTTAATATATGAATAATAGTATGTAAAATAATGAAAAAAACATATGTCTACATCATCTGAATTTTTTTTTATTAACAATTATAAATAGAAGTTATATTATCCTTTTATATTGCAATTATTTGCATTAAAAAAAAAATATAAATGTTATTAAGGTGAACACTTTTTGTGATTTTGTATAAAAAACTATCTTATTATTTTCAAAATTTTTATTCCTTAAAAATATATATATTAAAAAAACTATTTTCAAGCATGTTATTTTTGTATGAATTAATCAATATCAATTTTATGCTATAATATTTAATTCACAATACTTACATAATATGTTATTATTATTGTGATTTTGTTTTAATTATATACAATAAAAAGTTACTCAATTTTAATAAATTTTGTTTCCATTTCACTTGTATTGAGGGAAGAGGAAGGAAGGAGTGAGCGAGTAAGCGATCTAGAGAGAGGGGAGAGAGGGGCGAGGAGAAGAGGGAGGGAGGAAGGGGGACAGAGAGAGGAAGAGGGAGAGAGGGACAGAGAGAGAGAGGGAGAGAGAGAGAATAAACGAATGAACGAACGAACGAACGAATGAACGAATGAATGAATGAATTAATATAAGATAATTTATATAAAATATAAAACAAATTACTAATTTTATATTACTAAACTGATGTTTCAGAATTTAATCTTAATAAAAATTTATTAGATTTAGGATGTGCAAGCTGTTCTGTAAGATGAAAATGAGGTAAATGATATACTGTACATAACAAAGCTACTTCACCTTGTCGTAATTGAAATTCGCAACCATTTGCAAGAGGTCGCGAAGGCAATTCTCCCTCGCAGACTAAAGCCCAATGATGTGATCGCTTTTGTCGTTCTTTTTCATTTGAAAATACAGGACTGGTTACAAAAAAAGGTTCCAAAAATGCGCGTGGTGCTGCATCTTGTGCTAAACATCGAGCAAGTCGATTTAAGATAGATTCAACAGAATGACGCGGTTGTTGTCGCGTAACTCTTAAATATTTCTGCAAAGCTCTTGCCATAGATGGAAAAACAGCTTGTGCAGCTTCCATAGGATCCATAGGACCAGGATTTGGAGTAGATTCAACTTCTGAATGCAAACGTTTAATATGAGCAAAGGCTTCTTCAGCGGCAGTGATTAATCTAGCTCTACGTTTGCGTACTCTACGTTCATAATCGTGTTCTTCATAAAAACGTTCATTATGGCTGGAATCTCTACGACGAGTTTGAGTTGTTATAACTGATCTATCACCACTACCTCCTCGTGATTGAACACTACCAGTTACTGCACCATCAACTTCATAAAATTTGAAACTCGATTGTTTTCTACCAGATTTTGATACTGGCAATCTTTCTAAATATGGATTATAAATAGGAAATTCTGTATAATATCTTTCTAATACCCATACTGCTGCTCGTTGTATTGATAATTGTCCAATTGCATAAGATCGTGATTCACCATCTGGTGATCTTACAACCTTAAATATCAATATTATTTTAAGTTTAATTGCATTATTGCTAAAAAAACAATACAAAAAAGTATATAAAAATTAAATATTAATAAAAAACTTACCTTAAGATAAAAAATAGGTTGTTGATGACGAATTTCAATTAACAAAACAGCAATATAATGTATGAACAATAGAGTATCTGCAAGAGTACCTGCATAATTTACTAAATTTTTATATTCTGTTATTTCACCATTAGCAGCAGTCTTAGCACTCTCAGTAACCTACAATTTATGATAATGTACAAATGTATAATAAATCCTAATATATTTAATAAAATTATTTACCTGGACAACATAAAATAACCAATAAGTACAAATGCATAGTGTAGTAAGAAGCAACACTCCTGCTCTAAATAAAAATATACGTGGCATTGTAGCATTTTTTGAGCGAAAAAATATAGCCCAACTTCCAATACCTAATAGCACCAATTTAAAGGCTAAACCTAGTAATTGGCCTTTACATTCAGCATTACAAGATAATAATTGAAGCTTTTGTTGCATAGTTAAAACAGTTGTAGAATCAGGAAAAAATCCTAATTTAGGCAATATAACCATAGTTATAGGACTAAGAAAAGCACTTAATCCAAGCATCATTGCTATAATCGGTCCCATAAATCGATTACAGGAATTAAACGATCCATCATTTTCATTTGGCCAATGGCTCACATCTTCAGTTGATTCTGATCTATCAGAAGTATTTCCAGTGACAGCTGTAGTATTTTCTCCCCAATTTTCATCTTGAGGTAAAATTTGTACTTCTATAACTTCTTGACCTAAATTATCAACACTATCTCCCCTTACATTGACAGTTGTTTGAAAAGGTGCCATTTCTGTGGAATCTAAATTATGCCTCTCTTTTTTTTGACTACGATTTGTCCTTTAAAAAAATATTTATATTAATAAAAAAATCATGAAAAATAATTTTAATTAAATTACATTTTTTTTAAATATATTAAAATACCTAGTACTTCTATGTGAATGTTGTCTATGATGAGATTTAGAACTGTGAGTACGATGATGTTTTTGAGAACTTCTACTATGATGGCTATGGCTATGCTCGCTAGCCCCCGATTTTACGCTCTCCGTCTCCATTCCCCCGCAAAGGCAACTGCCCTGCTATTACCCCATAAGAACATACCCTTTTCCACTCGTAACAAAACACCAAGCACATATACAAAAAAATATATCAGACTTAAAATTGAAATTTTATCGAATCATAAAATAATATGAACAATAAAACATTTTCTACACTTAAAATTTTTTGTTGCTGTGACATTTTAAAATAAAAGGAACATTTCTTTTATGTATGAAATTCGTATAATATATTATCAAAATATATTATAATAAAATTGCTTATTTAATATATGTTTCTGCTAATTTATAAAGTATTAAAAAATAGACGCCGACACGCCTTACGTTTATTATTTTCTCCTGCTCTAACTTGCTTGTTACCACATTCCGCAATAATTGTTAGGGAAAAACAATGATTTTCTAGGGATATTTTATATTTACACTGAAATAATTTATATTAAATTTTTATAAAAATAATAATAAGACTTAAATTTAATTATTATGTTTTTTCCAAATTACAAAAGCAACTTATTTTATTAAAAATAATAATGTAACATTGAAAATAGATCAAAAATTTTAGTGCTAATGTGGCTTTAGAAAAATTATGAACAATATTTTATGTCGTAATGATTATTTTTTAAAAGATAGCTTTAGATTCTAATTAGAACTAATAAATTAACGAATAACAAACAAAAAATACACAACAATTAATTAAATTATTTTAAAAATTATTTTTTTTAAATATAAATTTTTTGCATATATATTTCTATATATATATATATATATATATATATATAATTTTAGTGAAATACTGACTAGTTTCTGAAAACAAACTTGGATATTATAGATCACCAATCATAAAAAAAATATTTTATGTTAGGTTTACGACAATGTTAATAAATCTGTGACAGATGAAAAGTGTAAAGTAACCGGTCAAACAGTGATGTAAGTGAAATGAATATATAAACAACAATATAAAATAATATTATATTATAAATTATTCTAATTATTGTATGAATTAT